CAAATATGCTTTTAAAGAAAGTAATATTTTGACATAAACTCATTTTTGAACAAGTTTACCGTGGCGTCCTATCAGGGTTAGTAGGACTTTTATCCCCCCTTTTTTACGCCACTAAAACATTTTTTAAATTTTTTTATTTTTTTTTTTTTATATCTAGGTTCATTTTTATTTAAAAATTGATGTGTCCAACACATGATTTTCCTATCTAGTTATTACAGGCTTATTCGGGTTATTTTGTACAACCTATTGTATCACCCCTGTATATGTTTAGAGGATGAACAACTAAATACCGAGCAAAATACATATCTTACTCGAAACATTTTTTTTATATATATTAATTTCTAACGAAAATACTGAAAAAATAAAATTTTACACTTTTCCTCAAATTTTTCCATTGTGGTCCATTTTAGAGAAATCTATGAATTAAAAATTATAGAGAATGATATGGCAAACAACTTTTATTTGTAAAAACGAAAATAAATCAAACTCAAATGTGATAGACGTAAAATTAAATGAATAAAACTCAAAGCCAATATCACATAAAATACCAACGACCGTTTCACTTCAGAAAACAACTACTCTTTTGGCTAATACCGCAACAGGTATTGAATTTTTCTTAAAAATTCGAATTTTACACTTTTTATCAAATTTCTCGAATACGGACCATTTTAGGAAAATTATGTAAAGTACAAAAATTTTAGAGAATAATATTACAAGCAACTTTTATTTGAAGAATTTTCTTCTTCAAGCATAAATAACAGATATATTCCTTAAAGTAGAAAAACAACCTTCTATAAAGTACTCCCCCAGACGTTTCGAATAATCCCAAAATTTAATCAGTTCACCGCATGATGGATTAAAGCTTAAATATAAAATTTGGGTTTTTCTCTTTATCCGTTTTTGAGTTGTTTTCAAAATTCGAAATTTACTTTTTCTTAAATATCTCTAATACGGTCAATTTTAGAGAAATTATGTATATAACAAGAATTATAGAGAATGACATCACAAACAACTTTTATTTGAAAATTTTTCTTAAAAATTTAAATTTTTAACATTTTGTCAAATTTCTCAAATACGGACCATTTTAGGAAAATTTTGGCAAGGACAAAAATATAGATAATAATATTACAAGTAACTTTTATTTGAAGAAATTTTTTCTCCAAACATAAATAACAGATATATTCCATAAAATATAAAAACGACCCCCTATAAAGTACCCCCAGATGTTCCAACTCTTCCCAAAATCTAATCAGCTCTCTGCGGACAGGAATAAAGCTTGAGTTTAAATTTTGATGTTTTTCTCTATATCCGTTCATGAGTTATCTAGTAATGATAAAATTTGATATCCGATGGTTGTATTTGAGGTTTTAGACCAAGCTTTCCCTATGCCATCAACCTTCTTAACCAACTGTTTACCTAAATTGCGGCATATGAAAAACTTTTTTATTTTTAAAACCTATTAAAAAAAGTGATTCTTCATAAAAAGTCGAGCATGGTCTAAAACCTAAAAAACAACCATCAGATATCAAATTTTATCAGTCGTATACGAGGTTTATTTAAAATAAGGTAAAATGAAGGTACTCCTCAGCAAAATTCATATTATTTGACATACCTCGCATACTATTTTAAAAATGTAATATATGATGGTTGCATTTTAGACCATGCAGAAATTTTTATAAAGAATAACGTATTTTCGTATAGTTAATATTAAAAAATCTTCCCATATGCGCAAACTTAAGTGGGGACATACTGTATAATAATACTTTTTCATTTTTGCAGTATTGCCAGTTTTCATATTTTGTCTATAATCTACCGAAAACCATATTATACCTACTAAATAGCATGCCTAATTTATAAAATTTATTTTGGAGAAATACAGAATTAAAAGGTGATATAGTGAAAAAGTATTAGTGCCATACTACGCATACGATATAGATAAACGTAGAATTAACGTAACATATAAAATTTCTAAGAACAATCATAAGTATTTATCTATTATTTAGGTAAAAAAATGTATTTTAGGATAAAAAAAATAAGAATTTTATTTACTTTTCGCAATAATCTCGTTTAAAATATAAAATAAGGATATAAAAATATTTAATATAAAACGTTAATTTTAAATCAAGCGTGTAAGTAAACGATGAGCATCATGTATGCCAATTATAAACAAAGAAGGCTCTAGATCGGATCCTTGAGTAACGTCAAAGTAATAAAAAACTTTGGAGATGCTAAATTATGCAAATTTATAGCACTTGCGTACCTATAAAAAGATTCTCAGAATTTCCTTACACAGAGCAACAGTGACTTTTTTAATTCGTAATAATTTGCAAAACACAAAATATAGCTGGCATATGGTTCAGTATACGGAGATAAGTGTGTAAATTTCACAAAATTCCTAATAATCGCATATTGGAATTGATGATTAATAAAAAAATTTATTTGTTTTTCAAATAGGTCAAACAAGAGGATCTAATGATCTAAATTAAATGTTAGGCAACACAGTTTGTCATAACGTAAATTACTAATCAATATGTCCCCTATTAATATTAATAGCCTTTTCACATTATTTGTTAATATATTAGACAAAACAAAATACAGCAAACACTGATTGACTAATGAAATTTGTTCTAGAATTAATTAATTACATGTAAAATATAATATATCTATCAAAAATGGCTGAATATTGGGATATTTTCGGATATTTTACACATATTTACCTTAAAAGTAATCTAAGAATCCAAAAAAATGGTAAAATATACACTGTGTTTCACTTAAAATTACTATGGTACTTATAAAAGTACAAAATTATCAGCAGATTGCAAAAACCTCGGCAAAAACGTTCATTAACATTTAAGTATGATCCTGATAAAATTTGACAGAGCTTGAAAGTGATATGTTTAAGTAGGGTTGCCAGACATCACGCTTTTGGCGTATTTTCCACGCTTTTTGACTTGCAACGCCACAGTACGAAAAATCCACGCTTTTGACAAAAATTCCACTCTTTTTATGCAAATGCCACGCTTTTTAAATTTAAATCAGCAGAGGAACCGGATTTATACAAAAATAGAGAAATCTCTGGACAAAGGATCCTCGTTTTTACGAAAAATATAAGCTGAGGACCTTTTTTTTTAGAAATTTCACAAAAAGTGGACCTGATTATATAAAAATGCTTGATATTTGAACCTAATGCTCTGTCATCACTCTTTTCACGTTCGGAAATCTGGAAACCCTATGTGTGAGTGATATTCGTTTTAAATTACTCACAGTCTAAACAACTGTCATCAGGCTAGAAAATTTTACCGTGCGTTCTTGCAAACGGCTTTATAGTATATTTTAGTATACATATATTACTCCTAGGGGTTCTGGTCAAGGATTCTGAGGTGCGAATTTCATAATTTTAGCATTAATATATTGAAGTAACTTACTTTTTATAATATTTTAACTGAAATTAAATATGGAAGAATACGTTTTATTTGCTATTTTCATTTATATTATAATAAAATGCAATATTTTGACTGAATTAACCTAACTTTTCATCATTCCTTCCATAAAACCTAAAATAAAGTGATTCATGAAATTGTCAGTTCTTGACACATAGGGTCCTCGAGTTTGCAACGTTGCCATACTATATGTTGATTTTTATCACTGATAATTTCCAAGTTTAAGATTTCTGTTTGAATGAGAAGAAAATAAGTTATAGGTGAAAATATAATGTATTATGTGAGACTTTTCATTTCAATTTGAGCGGTGTCCAGGCCGTTGGAGTCTATGCCGGTAGGCGTAGCCAGGTATGGGTACGGGAAGTCGTAGTTTCGTTTTGAGTGAAAGAAAATTTTAAAAAAGTTGTCTAGGTATTACATGTTAACTGATTTAATTAATTTCATTTTTTAATTTTGTATGTAGTTTTTTTGAGCTGCATTTTTAAAAATAATTTATATACGATTATTACCGTACCTTTTTGAAGCAAACGAAAAATGTATGATTTTTGATTACTTCTTTCTTATAATCTCATAATTTATACATTTTAAATAATCCTTAAACTTATAATTTTATTAACAACTTGGCAACGTTTGTTATTTTTAAGACAGAAACTGTAAAATTGGGATTTTTAATTAAATTTTTTTCGAAAAATACTGCTTCATCCATACATTTTTTTTTTTTTTCGAAAATTTACTATAGAAACGAGTGTTTTTTTTGTGAATTTCGCACCTCAGGGTCCTTTACCGGACCCCACAATTTTAATAATCAACTTCCAGTACAAAGGGTCCAAAAATTAGTGTATATTAAGAGTAAAATAGAAAAATTCGAGATTAAACACATAAATAACTATAATTTTACATTTTTTTGATGTTTTTTAAATAACTCATATACTCATTTTTATTAATAATAATTTTTGACGTATATTAACTAAAACCTTTAAAAAAACCTAACCCCTAAGGCCTCCTTGATACAATCCTAAACGAACACCTGATGGAGAATAGGGATAAGTTCAAAATGTTTCCCACATTGTTTTCTTGGAATAATTATAAAAATTTTCTAAAATTGGCAAATCTTTTCACAACTAACATTATTAAATTTAAGGGTTTCTGAAGAGGTCGATGTACACATCAACATTATTACTTAATTAAAATAAAACTTTGAAAATCTTTCTTAAACTTTTAATTTCCGAGTTACAAACGAGGTTTTGACTTTACCAGGTCTTAAAGAAGTTATCTTATTGTAATATGAACAATAGAGCCTTATTTTTCAGTAACTATACAGCTGCGACATCTTTTAACTTCAATTTGTATGCATGTAGGTATGCAACAAAACCACCCTATATTTTGAAAGTATGTTGATGTGCAGATTCCGAGCATTTACCTCGCGAAGGTCTGGCAACAATGTAGGGCATGTTTTTCGCAAAATGGAGGCCGGCAGGCACTTGTTAGGTTAGGCTTATTTATTACCCTTAATATAGAATCAAAATTACAATCGATTTTAATCAGATAAGAAACGCTTACCTCTTCTCGCCGTTTCAACCATCTTCCACAAGGACTTTCTTCTAAAATTTCGCTCTCGTCCTCAGAATCCTCGCCACTCTCCCTCGGCGATTTGTGCTCCTGATCGTTATTCATCAGACCACCCCTGCCCGACATTATAAACAATTTGAACTATCCCAAAAATTCACCACCTGTACGTTCTCGAACGGGTCAATGCAACTCCAACACCAAAGGTATTCCATCAGAGCATAATCCTTCGAAAAGCACTTTTACACACCAAATATCTCACTTGTACGAGTAATCCTACAGGGTTTTGCACGTATCGAACATTTTTTAACGTAAATACCTGAGATAAAACCACCAATAATCACGAGAACTCGAAAACGACACTATTAGAACTCTTCGAACTACGTTGAGAATGTGATGCTGAACTTGTCCTTAATTTGTATATAAGTCCGTCAGTTTAATTAACGAAAATACACTGGAAATAAGTGGAATACTAATACTTGGGAGCACAACAAAAATAACACTATGACTGTTGTGTATTAAAGTGTCCCTCTGCTAACTGCTCTCAAGTATTTGCAATTGACAGGCTCCGTCATTCACTCATGCGCCGAAGATTTTGAAAACCCCATGCGTAGGCAACACACATAACGCTGTCTAATCGATATCCACTCGATATTTATTAAATACTGTTATCAGAAAAACTACTTTCGTTATTTATTCATCTATTTTTTTAAACAAATTTATTTTCTTACAAGGAATAACATCGAACAATGTTTATAACATCGTTTACCTACAAAAATTGATAATCGATTATTTCTGGTGCTGCCATCTATAAATTATAAATAGAATCGTTGTATGCAAACTGCATTACGATTGCAAAATATTAAGTATTTGTCATTTATATTGATTAATATATAAACTAAATTATATTGAATATAAAATAAGAATTTCCACATAACATTTATTGCTTTTGATATCGATTTAATACAAACCGGAAAAAAACAGTTAGCGACATCTATTGGTATTCAAACTATTTACGACTATTAAAAACATGTTTGTGTAATTTCTATTCATTTTATTTATGAAATAAACCACTTTTTCATCGATTTATAAAAAAATATGCTTTCTAGAGGAAGTTTATAACATAACAGTTCAATAATTATTGTTTTGAATAATTTTATTGATTCCTTGCACCAGGATGTGACAGAAATTCGAAATCTTAATACCTACGGGGGAAGTAAGTAAAATAGTTTTCCGTTTGTGTTACAAGGGGAGTTCAAAACTATGTATATCCGTTCTAAATATGCCATAAAAGTGTGACGTAATTTTAGTTCCACTGACTATTAATTCTAACCAAACTTTTAACAATATTTGACATATATGTATTTACTATTTTTATTAAATTGTTTGCAGGTCATAAACATTAGTTGTTTAAGGGTATGTAATTGGTTAATAAATGATTTTATACTTGATGCATGTTTATTTTATCGAAGCTTAACAATAATATAGGTAATTTAGCTAAACAAAACGCAATAAAAAAAATAAATAAATACTGTCACTGTAATTGTGAGTTAAACCAAAATTACGTCATTACTAATTTAGCGTATTAGGCATTACAACGACCTGCCAAATAGCTGCCATAGAGCAAGGCCGGAACATATAAGGCCTTTCATCTCGGACGCTATTTTTATTCGAAAAAGTAGTCACCAAGCCTGCCATTTTAGAAAAATGTATAATCGGTTTTTTAAAAGGGTCTTTTTTATGATGTTGCCAACTCAAGCTGACTGCTATTTTCTCCTAGCCTTAGTGACCCCTTCAACACCCAGACAGCACACCAAATCCTTTGGACATCTACTGGACATCCCAATATCCACTGAATGTCCAGTCCATGGTGGATATCTATTTTAAATCCATGAGATGTAATTTATAGACATGCAAATGTCCATAAATAATAATAATTATATAGCAAATTATTAAAAAATTACGCCATTGTGGCTAATAGTACCATTCAGATATTTAAAATTATTTTTTTAAGGTGTATTCAATATCTCATGGACATCCACTAAATATATCAAAGTCTAGGCGCGAACGCAAACCATGGTGGATATCCACTAGATGTAATTTTTGACTTTGCCCACTAAGAAGAAAGTCATTCTTGGACCGGTTTCGTCCTTATTAGGACTAGAATTATATCCTTTTTTAAGAATAGCCCGCCTGTCTTTTATTCCACCTAGTCTCTGAACTAGATACTACTACGACTTTTGATTTTGCTTACTAAGTATAGATGGCAATACCACTTTCGCTCGTTGAATATCTACTCATGCTCAACCCGACGTAATTGAGTTCGACCGAAATTGCAATCAGACTCCATTAGAGACTGGAATCGAGAATTTCTATTTATTGCAGAAGAGTCCTAAATGCCACATTTGAGTTTGGAATTATTTGCTTTTTATCTATAGGATATATCCATTGGTTACTTATGAACCTTTACTAAAGATACCCATAAAATATTTTGCTGAATATCCATAGAATATCTTCTATATCCTGGATATAGATGGACATTTGGATATCCATATTAGATCCACTGGATATCTATAAAATATCTTGTGGATATTTTGGATATCCACAAAATATATTCTGTGGATATCTCTGGGATTTCTTGTATTGTCTGGGAGATATCCATTAGATATTTTGCTGGACATCCATAGGATATCTTCTATATTCTGGATATAGACGGACATTTGGATATCCTTATTAGATCCACGGGATATTTCTGATATCCTGTTGATATATTGGATATCCACAAAAGATATTCTGTGAATATCTCTGGGATTTTGTGTGTTGTCTAAGCAATTTCCTTGGTCTATGTCACAACCCCTTATAGATGTACCAATAATACTTTCCTTCGGCAGCCATTTTGTTTGGAATGCCTAATAAATGAAAAATAATCCAGAAAACGAATAAAAAGAGAATTAATGATGAAAAAAGGCAAAAGGAAAAAAAAAACATTTTAGAAAACTAGTGTTTTTTCAAGTAAAACAAATATTTACAAAGATGTATTCATATGTTTTCTGTTTCGCGTTTCTTCTTCTTTTTCTTTTTAGAACAAACTAGTTCAATAGTATCACTTTGATCTACTATAATATCGTCTAAATGTGCGTTTTTTACTTTCTTCTTTTTCTTTTTGACGTCAGGGTCGTCTTGATATCGTTCGTGCTTTTCTAAATTATTAATCTGTTCTTCTTCACCGGGTTCTTCAGTAACTTTTCTCTTCTTCTTTTTAGACTTTTTATCAACATTAATGTTGCTTTCTAATAATTCTTCAATATTTTTGCGTTTTTCTTTCGTTTCTTCTGTTTTAATATAACCAGTAGAGTTCTTTATTTCATTGTTTACTTCTTTAACATCCTTTACATCATCAACTTCGTCAGATTTTTCATGTTTCCTTGTCTTCTTTTTAGAACTTTCTTCAAAACCATTATTTTCCATAAATTCTTCTTTATCATTGTTCGATTTATTCGCATGATTATCTTCATCAATGTTTTCTTTCGATTTCTTCTTCTTTTTGCTCTTTTTCTTATTATTGTCATCTTCAATTTTAATCTCCTGGGCATAGCCGCCGATTAATTCTTCAATATTTTTGTATTTTTCTTTCATTTCTTCTGTTTTAATAAGATCAGTAGAGTTCTTTATTTCATTTTTCACATTTTTTACATCCTCTACATTATCAACTTCATCAGATTTTTTATGTTTCCTTTTCTTCTTTTTAGAACTTTCTTCAAAACCATTATTTTCCGTAAATTCTTCTTTATTATTCGTATGATTATCTTCATCAATATTCTCTTTCGATCTCTTCTTCTTTTTGCTCTTTTTCTTATTACTGTCATCTTCAATTTTTATATCTTGTACATAGCCGTCATTTTCGTCTTTTTCGTTATTTAAAACCCTGCTACCTTTTAAATTGTTAGTATCGTCTTCATGATCATATTTTGCCCTTTTAGATACATTTTCTAGGTATTCTTCTTCAAGATTTGTGGGAGTTTCTTGAATATTTTCGTTTGATTTCTTTTTCTTCTTTTTTCTATTAGTTATCCCTTCCATTTCTTCCTCTTTTACATCTGTATTACTAGAAATGTCAGTTTTAGTATTATCATTTGTATACTTGTGTTTCTTCTTTAAAGAATCGGTGTTTTCTTCATCAAGTTTTCCATTGTGATTCTGGTCATCAAACTTCTTTTGCTTCTTTTCCTTCCACCTTTCATTCGCCTGAACGTGTTTCTTGAAATTGAAAATCTTGGTATTAAAAAACTGGTTTTCTTCGCCTTCTTTCAATCGCTCGAAAACGGCCACAAAAAAACCGTTTGTATAATCTTCATTTGGCTTGGCGTATAAACAGTTTTTTCCGATATCCCCAAACTCGGAAGACCCGACATTTTGCCAGGATTCCCCGACGAATTGTTTAGCAGGAACCAATTTGAAATTATAATTGGTCTCCAAAACTTGTCGAACAACATCTTCGTTTTCTTCAGGAAGAACGGAACAAGTGGAGTAAACTACTTTTTTCGCGTCGGGAAACTTGGTCAGGGCGTGCCTTAAGATCTTTATTTGGAAACCCGTCAAACTACGCAACCTAGACTGGTCGATTTCATTGTCTTCCGGTCGATCAACCATTCCTGCAAAATCAATAGGGGTTAAATCCGGTAATATTGTAGGTAGTTTGGGTAAAAAGCGTTACTTACCAGTACCGGAGCAACTGGGATCGACCAAAATGTATTCCACTCCGGGAAAAGCTTCGTTGAAACAGTCCAAAATATCTTTATTGTATGTTTTCACACACTTGGCGCCTGAGGTTTCAACTATTTTGGAAAGCGTTTCGAATCTCTTGGGGTTTCGTTCGATGGCGTAAACCGTGCCTTGGTTGTTCATCACAGCAGCCAAGTGCGTAGTTTTCATTCCAGGAGCCGCGCACATGTCCAGGACCGTACTGCCGGGCGGCGGGTCCAAAATGTGTACCGGTAAGCAACTGGCCTGTACAAACAAATAAGTATATAAAAAAATATTTAGATACTATGGCGGCAGAGGTTTGAATACAGAAGGAATATTAGCATGGCTCAAAATAGACTATAGAGTTATTTAGAATTAAATTATGTCAAAATGAAATTGGTTGTGTAATTTTAAAAACTTACCTTATCCTGTAGAAGTATGGAACCATTTTTATAGGCAGGATGATTGTAAAATGTGGTTTTCGATGGAAAAACCAGCAGATTCGGAACGTGTATGTCAACCAAGAATTCATCGTTGTTTAACGAAACGATTCTCTCCAAATATCCCTTATAATCTGTTTTATCTAAAAATTTAACTAGGGTCCAACCGTCATTTCTGAAAGTTTCTATTGCCTCATTTAGGCTTGACAGTATGGTGTTAATTCTTACGTAACGTGGTTTAGAATAACAATCTAAAAAATAAAAAAAAGACGCTATAGTTCAGTTCCAAAATAGTAGGCACTAAATTCTCAGAAATATTTATTGCCTTAAAACGAAAATATTGTTGTCAGGTTGTGATTCTAAATATTTTAACATTTAACATAGAATAACGGACGTGTTTTATTCGTTAAAAAGTATCTTCGTGTTAATACAATGTATTCAGCAACATCAATGTTTATTAAGAGAATATAAAAAAATTGAATGAAATTCTGCGTCTAAAACTTAAATGGCACCGTTGCGTACCAAATATGTTTGTGAGGCGGAAAAGAGAACAACATATTAAAGTTGCCGTATGGTAGAGAGAGATATACACATTGGCCCGAGCAGTGCCCCATGTCAGGTAAACAATCATGGGCATAGCGTGAATCTATCTTAGTATTCTGTGAGATAATCGAGGTAATGTAATACCTTATTGAAATTTAATTTATTTGTGTAAATCAAATGGATAACACCTTATTCTTCAAAGAGGGGTAAGTAATTACTTCTTCGAGACAGGGTAAGTCTTTTATATTTACATTGTACATACTATAATCAAGAATAAAGTAGTAAACTAATTTAAGTTTGTCTTGTAAGCAATAGGGAAGGTGGAGCAGTCAAAGTAAACGCTGTCGTACGTCACTGGAAGAGACAGATTAACCCAAACACGTCACAACCATTTCTTGAGAACTTAGTGCCCACTATTTTGGAATTGTAGTATAGTGGATCACGATTTTGAGATTTCTAGCAGAAATGGAACAAATCACACATTTTTTTCTAATCTACTCGTAGAAGTATACGCTGTGTTTCAAAATTAAATGCCATATAATTGTTTCAAAAGGGATATATACAAAAATAGAGGCTAATTAAAACTCTATATTAAGGGAGATAAAGGATAAACATATTTTGGTCACACACTGTGTTTTTTTGTACAATATACACTGTATAAGTGTTATCATAATTTTGTGGAATATTGATTGTTTTTAAAATAGTTTCTTGTACTCTATATAGGCTGTCCCCTAAAATAGATAAATCTGTTAGTATTTTTGTCATCTGAAACAAAGCATTTTGTCATTGATTTTTTTAATATTATTTGCAGGTAAAAAAATGGTTTGAAGATATGTAACTAAATTATTTTTATAAACAACAAAGAAAAGAATAACAGTAAAGGAAAAATTCAAACTACGAACGACCAGGCATTGCGTTATATCAAAAGGTAAATAGCAGAGATAGAAAATAATTTTCAACATTCTAACTTTGATTTTGCTTTCTAAGGAGAACGTCATTCTTGGACCGGTTTTGTCCTTATTAGGACTCATCAGCAAAAAATAGACTATTTCGACTCCAGAGTTGTAATTATTGCAGTTGTATATATGAATACAATCTTGAAAATAATAGAAATAAAATGTAACTTAACACCTAACGTCTTAATTTTATTTGCTTTATAGAATTTATTACTATAAAATATTATTTATAACTAATGTTATCTACTTTTACTTACTTTAATATTATTTTGAGGCCTAAAATCACTAAAATAAATAAATACGTTTATTTAGCCATTGCTATTATATACAATAACTTGTTATTGACATATTTTTTTGTTATTTTACATATATATACACAATTTTTAATTTGAATTTGTAAGATATATACATAAGTTTTTGTACAAATTGAAATTTTCTAGAGTCCTTTATTTCTTTTGGCCAAATTATAAAAGGATTTTTCAATTAATTAGCAATAATTGGTATATATAATTGTAATAGGTGTTTGCTATAATAGTTTGTGGAATGCATAGGGATAAAAAATGAATCATTTGATCTCAGAAGTCAAGAAGAAATTCTGAAATATACAGAATGTCCCAAAATCATACCGGCAAACTTTAAGAGGCGATAGGGGACATTAAAACAATTTTTTTTTTGTTAATAAACATATGTCAACAATTGAATCATTTGAAGTTTGGGCAGAAAAAAGGAAAATTTGTTTTGATCAGTTCTGTTTATTTCACTGATTTTACTACCGATATTAATTTAAAAAATGTTTAGAAGGGCTAAATAAAATTTCAATAATTGTTCAAAATGTTAAACATTTGCTTCAATGCAAAAATTGCACCGTCAGTTCAGGACTCTATAGATTATTCCTGGAATAGATTCTACATCTGTAAAACTAGCCATTATACTTGCTGAGATCTTCGTCATTAGGAATAGGCGTTTCGTAGACTACAGATTTCAGATAAGCCAAAATAAAAAAATCTAGGATGTTAAGAACTGGAGAACGCGCAGGCCAGGCCAAATACCGGTGCACGTTTAAACCAAAATGTGGAGGTTCCTCGTAATGTTGAAACCACATGTTATTTCCAATATCTAAAGGAACATTTTCTAATAATAGAAACAAAACATTTTGCAGAAAATGGAGATACATGTCTGCGTTCAAACGAACAGGCAGCAAGTGAACTATTAGATTCTCTCCAACAATACCAGTCCACATATTTGCAAAAAATTGTTGCTGTTGTCTTCTAAAGGCCACATCATGAGGATTTGCATTAAGTGTGAAACATGTCTCATCTGTACAACAATACTTTTCTTCTGAAGTAAGGGTCTATTAAGTTACGATCCAGAAACTATTGTCAAAAAGCTAATTGATGTGAACAATCTTCAGGATTTAAAGCTTGTACGCGTTATAAATGGTAGGTGTGAAGGAGTTATTCATGCAGGAAACCCTGTACCGTCGACTTGGAGGATCCTGTATGGTGTGTAAGTGCGCAAACACTTGTGGAATCATTTTCCTCCACATTATGTGGAACTCCTTCTTCACCACCAGGAAGCTTTAGGTTCTCCCTTTCTCTAAGACAACGATGGATGAAAGCAAAGGTTGTATGATGAGGCATTCTAGATATCTTTGTATCAGTACATTCTTCAAATAAGAAATTACCATCCATTTTCAATACAAATTTTGAATCAACAAATAGTCCTATGGTCTTAAAATTGGCAGCTTTGGAATGTTTATTGTGGTATAATGTTTTTGTTCCCCAACAAAAAATGTCAAATGAAGACAGAGTGGTGTTCAACTAAATTACGAATTAATTTTAGTTATTTGGAATGATTTAAAATATTTTATTGCTCTACAGCTCATTTGCATACATTTGTCTATTAAACAGAAAAGTTTGTTTTGATGTCCCCTATCACTCCTTAAAGTTAGTCGGTATGTTTTTGCTCCAGGATGTTATGATAGTTGTAAATTCCTTTAATAATTATAATATACCCAGACAACACACCAAATCCCAGAGATATCCACAGAATATCATTTGTGGATATCCACAGGATATCAGAAATATTCCGTGGATCTAATATGGATATCCAAATGTCCGTCTACATCCAGAATATAGAAGATATGCTATGGATATCCAGCAAAATATCTAATGGGTATCTCCCAGACAATACAAGAAATCCCAGAGATATCCACAGAATATATTTTGTGGATATTCAATATATCCAGTGGATTTAATATGGATATCCAAATGTCCGTCTATATCCCAAGGATATAGAAGATATTCTATGGATATTCAGCAAAATATTTTATAGGTATCTTTAGTAGAGGTTCAATGATTATTGAATAACGTCGAAAGAAAATAGCAGAGATAGAAAATATTTTTGATTTTGCCCACTAAGGAGAAAGTCATCCTTATTAGGACTCTTCAGCAATAAATAGAAATTCTAGACTCCAGTCTCTAATGAGTCTGATTGCAATACCAATTTCGATCGAACTCAATTACGGCGGGTTGAGCATGAGCGAAAGTGGTATCGCCATCTATACTTAGTAAGCAAAATCAAAGGTTGCTGTAATACCTAGTTCAGAGACTAGGTGGAATAAAAGCCAGGTGGGATATTCTTAAAAAGGGAAATAATTCTAGTCCTAAAAAGGACGAAACCGGTCCAAGAATGACTTTCTTTTTAGTGGGCAAAATCAAAAATTACATCTAGTGGATATCCACCATGGTTTGCGTTCGCGCCTAGATTTTGATATATTTAGTGGATGTCCATGGGATATTGAATACACCTTAAAAAAATAATTTTAAATATCTGAACGGTATTATTAGCCACAATGGCGTAATTTTTTAATAATTTGCTATATAATTACTATTATTTATGGACATTTGCATGTCTATAAATTATATCTCATGGATATAAAATATATATCCACCATGGACTGGTCATTCAGTGGATATTGGGATGTCCAGTAGATATCCAAAGAATTTGGTGTGCTGTCTGGGTACATAAAAGAGGGGGTCTAACATAAGGTGACCAACTTTCCTAAATCTAAAAAAAATCCAAGAAACGGGACAGAAGATGCCACAACAAAAAAAAAAGAAAGAAAAGAAGAAAAAGAAAAAACACTTGAAAAAGTATTCAGTAACGATGCCATGAAGCCTTCAAAAATGGAGGACCACTTATCAAGAGTATATGCTGACAAAAAAAGAAATCCTTGTCATTCTTTAAAGCACTTGAAGAAAACCTAGATAAAAGGCCATATCCATAAGATCGATGTTTACATCATCATCTATGCAAGACGTTGATTGTTCACGAGCGTCCTATAATATATATTTACTAATAGCGAAGTCAGGGAAACCCCACACAATGTATTGCACAAGCTCGCACAAAGAGAATGCCTTTGAGCAATAATACCATTCAGAGACGAATAGACAAGGTGGTTCGAGACATAGAAAATATTTTATGCAATTTCTAATAGACAACCAGATTCTCTCTCTAGTTGGACGAGTCTACATTACCAGGCAATGAAGCTAGTGTTCTTACTAGGTAGAATGGATATCAAATATATTCGTTGGGTTGAACACAATAGCTTACGTTTTCATTTTGTAGTCTATGTATAGTTAAGCTACACTAGTGGAAAAAATTAAGGGATCAAAAAAAAATTTCTTACGATTTTTCGAGTGGCTGTATCTTTGGTAAAAATGGTCGTACGTAAATGAAAAAGTGTCTAGTTTATGGATCTTGCGATAAAAAAATTGTTCAATCAACAATTAGCACAAAATCCTGATGAATATCATAAATAGAAAACTTTTGAAATTTTTTTTTTAATTTTTAGTGTACCGACTTGATAAAAATTTTCTCACATAACTACTATATGCATTGGATAGGTGGTTTAGTTAGCTTCAATTCCTTTTTTTGAAGGCCTCGAGATGACCCTTCCTTGCTGAGTTATCAGAAAATGAACGAAAATGCGTCATTTCCTCTTCTCTTGTCAGTATCTGAGGAACCAATGGCCGCTCAGAAAATGGAAGGGGGGTTTCGGAAACTCCGATTCATTCTCTACAAGGTTCTAGCATGTTCTTTCACGAGAATTTTTTTTTATCCCTAGCATGACTTTGAAGAATTTCGGAAAACAGGACTTTTTGAGGTTTTTTAGAAAATCACGTACCACATTGAGAATATTGGAAAAATGAATAATGTTGAGTGTGCATCTTACAGGCCATTGTTCCCCCGAAAGCCCTACAAAATTTCAACCTGATCCATCAACCCGTTTCATTGTTTCATGCGAGTGAATTTTTGAAGAAATTGAAGGATCGCGTTTTTCTATTCATGATATTCATCAGGATTTTGTGCTAATTGTTGGTTGGAAAATTTTTTATCGAGAGATCCATAAACTAGACACTTCAAGCTTCAAATTGCTTTTTTTTTTTGATCCCTTAATTTTTTCCACTAGTGTAATATCCATATGGGTTTGCTTTTTTTTTTCATTCACGTACGACCATTTTTACCAAAGATACAGACACTCGAAAAATCGAGATTTTTTTTTGGTCCCTTCATTTTTTCCACTAGTGCAATATCCATATGGGTATAGAAAACATCCTTAGAGCTTCTGATTATAAAACCTAACATTTTTAAAGCTTTGACATTATTAATGTGTTCCTTGAATGATAAAGATGAATCAAAATTCACTCAAAGATCCTTAATTATTTGATTTTTACCCAGTATAATGTGCCATTGGTATTCAGAGACAGTCTTAAAGAGTTCGTTTGTATGTAGAAACTTATAACTGAACATTTATTAGTATTTAAAGAAAGCTTGTTCATCTGACATCAATTTCACTCTAAAGTATTTAAAACTGTAATAGCATATCAGTTTTCAAAAGCTTCATATCATTAGTGAATATAAGAGGAGTATTTAATGGTCATCATTAATAAATTAAAGAAAAATGGCTAAACATGTGCACCTTGTGGGAGACCAGAACTAAATGCTATTTGTTTAGAGATAAAATTATTGATTTTTACCATTTGAACCCTTTCCATTAAAAAAGACTACCTAGCCAAACTACCAAATTATCATGAAAACAAATTGACCCAACTTCATTAAAAATATCTAAATCTGTATAAACAGCATAGACTTGTTTACCACTCTTAAAGGCATCCAAACAAGGACTTTCCCACCAAGAACCCATGCTGGTTATTAACAAAAAATGTAGCTTTACATTGCACAATAAATCACTGCAAATAAGTTTATCAATCTTTTGGGTAAACACTCTATAGCTTTTTATAACATGTTCGTCTGCATCCTTGAATACTGGAACAAGAAAACTGGACTCTTAAACTTCAAGGAACACTGAAAAGTGTAATAACAAATTAAAAACAATATAAAGTGGTTCAATCTGACTATAAATATATTTTTTCAATAAACTGAGGTCATATTTGTGTAATTCTTATTTTGATGTCATGATTTCACTGTAGTTCTGTGTAAAATACATTTTTGGACAGCCTGTATATTTTGTTAGAGCTAATGTCAATTTTTTTAAATGGCAGTAATGTTTTCACACTTAGATTTCTTAATTTAGCAACCACAGCTAATTTATAAAAAAAAAGACATTGATTATTATAAAATGTTTAATTTATCTATAAAACTATACAATTACATTCGATTTATAGAAGGGGAATGTTAATTAAGTATTTTTTCCAATATTTATAAATATATAAACATGTTTTTACAATTTTAGATAATACATTTGTCTTATAATCACAAAAAATATATATTATTATTCACACTACAGATGCTTTGCATTAAATGAATCTAGTAAAGAGTTCCACGAAAACTACTGGCAGTTTTAGTAAAGTATTGTATTTTACCAAAAATAAAGTGAGTTCTACTATAGTAATAATTAATATCATGAGACTTCAGAACAATTTATTAAAAATATATTAGAATAAAAAAACAACTTTCTACTCTACAAAAAATGGAGTTGGAAATAAACTCTTAAACAATCTTAATACTGTTTATTTTTAAATACTACTCTTTCTTTTTCTCAGACACTGGTTGAATAATATTTCCTTGTTCATCATAATCAGGTTCTAAATAAGCAATGTATGCATAAACTACTATAATCAAATTAACAGTGACAACAGCCAAAACAACAGCCCAACAAGTGTTTGCAAACCCTACAACATCTAGATAATTTTTGAGCACAGCTTTAGTTCCAAAAAAGGCTCCGAAAGGCAAGGTGAACATGAGACAACTGAAAAATAAGAGTTTTCCTATCGCAGAAGCTGCACGTTTCGTTTGTTCTGGCAACATGGGTTCATTTTCATTCAATACGCTTTTATCAGCCATATTTTATCTGAAAAAAAAAAAATTACCTTTAGAAATGGTTTCTTTGCCAGAATCATCGCTCAAATGCGCCTTAAATATCTGCTCGTAGGCTCGGATAGTATCCTCGGGCTTACTCTGCCCAGGGAGTTTCTTTTTACCCCATAACAATTCGATAATTAAAATTTTCGCTAACCATGGATTAAGTTTTGGTTCTTTGACTAGCAATTGCGACCTCTTTAACAGAGTCTCTATTTCGTCGGTTTTTTGAAAGAGCGTCGCAACCAAAGCGTAAATAGCTTTGATATTCTAAAAATTCAAAAATATATAGAGCATGAAGTGCTTAAATATAACCTCAAAATACTCACTGGATGTTTTTTCTTATGTTCGTATACGAGACTTTTGATACTGCCTATGCCTTCGCTTACTTCCTTCGCTACTAGAGCAGACACTTTATACAATCGAGGTACTTTAATAGAGTGCTTATTCATAATTAATAATTACCTTTTTTCCCGATGTGGTTATTTTTCTTGGAAATTCATGTACGTCACGTTACTGTTTTAACAGACGTACCAACATACATTTCAAAATGTATTAAAAATCCCTATTCAAATTTTAAATGTAAATTAAGAATAGACACACATTTTGTAGGTATTTTCGTATTTAACGAACAATTAGTTATATTTTATTAAAAAATGGGTCAGTATAATAAGGTTATTATATTGAATTTGGTTTAATTTCGTTCTAAATTTACCATTGTTAAAGTGACGTGGGGGAGTTTTTTGTATTTATGTTGAAGGCATTGTTGTTTTTATGGGTGTTAAAAAACGGACAGATGAAGTGTCATCCACTGCCAAAATATCAAAATATTGCGAAAAAACTCGAATTTTAAACGGTTGTGCTTACATAAACCATATTTTATTTATTTCAGGCTTATTTCGGTGTATATGCAAACGATTCTGTGAAAATGTGACAGCGATTCCTGTAATGAGTCAACAAAATTTCCCCAGAAAAAATGTGTTTTTTAATTAACAGTAAACAACGTATAAAGATGAACGGATTTATTATTATGCTAGGACGAAGCTGAGAGGAAAAGAAAGGAAGATGGTTCCGATACCAGCTGAGTACCTTCCCGATTTCTGGGATCAGGTTTCAGCTGAATGCATGATTGAAGTTACTTGTCTTTTACCAAATGGGGTGGTAGTTTTACTCAACGTTAGCCACAATGCCACCCTTGCTGAAATCAAGGAGGTTAGTTGGATATATGCTTTAAATAATCCAAAAGGGTTTGCGAAAGATTGCCCATTTAGTCAATTTATATAGATAGCATAAAAACAATAACACAGAAAATAAACACTTTTCTATTATCTGTATTCTTTTAGTTTTTAGGTGGTCTTTTAAATATCTATAATAATATGGGTTGTTTCATTAATAAAGGTAAAACCCATTAAATGCTTATAATACTTTAATGCATACATAATTTTGAGTGTTTCTTTGAGTTACATAAAGGATATTTCTACTTGAAATCCTGTGGTGGTAAAATAAACTAGTTATAGTGAAATTTTTTCAATTAGTAAGGTGATACCAACCCATTTTTTGTTGAAAAAATAGTTATTAAACTAATATAACAGCATAGTAATCTTATTTTGAGTAAGACGATACAATATTGTAGCAAAATATGTAAAATGTAGTGTAATATTAGACTATTGTAAAAAATTATAATAATACTACTTTATTAATCCTTTTAGATAATATACCTGATATAGGATAAGTCATTTACATGTAAAGATGTACAATAGTATACATTTACAAAACAGATATAAAATCTAACTTAACACATTTAAATATACAATTTAACAATACACAAAATTAAAATTAGGACTGATATGCTTGGAAACACCCATATGACATAGGCTGGCTGTACCTTCTACTAGAAAAACTACAGGAGAAATTCATGAATGCTATAGGGACATGTTTGGGATAAATAGCTTTTCAATTTGCACTTAAATGAGCTCAGACTATTAATTTGTTTTAGAGAGGTAGGCAGATGATTGAATAATCTTATTCCACAGTAGTATGAACTCATGGTGTGGTTCTGTAATAATTTTAAATTTAAATAAAAATGATAACATTTCTTTATATATATATTTTTCAAAAAATTTACAGAGAACACTAGGCACTGTGATAGGTCTATAATTTTCAAGAGCTGTTGAATCACCTTTTTTAAAAATAGGTGATAATGTACCAGTTTTAAGTTCTTTGGAAGGTATGCCATTTTTTACAGACATATTGATTAGATATGCAATTGGTTCTGCTATATAATAACTAATAGATTTAATTATTTTAGTTGTAATGCAATCTACACCCATTGTATTAGTATTTTTTAAAGAACTAATGACAGCAGTTACTTCTTGGGAATCTGTTCCATCATAGAAGAATGTATTTTTTACATGCATGGTTTTGTAGTTATGAAAATTTGTATTGTCAAAATAATCTCCAATAGTGTTACTAGTTATGGTTGAAAAATAGCAAAACAATTAGCTACAGTTTTTTTGTCAGATATTAATATGTCATCAACATTGATCTGTATTGGCTTTATAGATTTACTTCTGCCAGTTATAGAGTGTACTGTATTCCATATAATTTTTTGTTTTTGTTGAGGATTATTGTTTTCTAACAATTTTTGATAATGATCCTTTTTTAGTTACATTTAGGGTGAACCATCCAGATAATGACCACTTGAGGCAACAGTGATATATACATATTTGTAAAAATGTTCGTTTTGTTTTTAAAAGAAAAAGCAAGGAATAGCTGGATGAATTTGTTTTCTAATTTAACTTTTTTAACATAAATATGTAAACATGTTTATTTGTTTAAAATATTCAATAATTTTTAAGATATAATGCATAAAATCCTAGTAAATTACTAGTTTCTTTGAGTAAATGACCAAATAAAATACCAGTAAATGACTACAACAATACTTTATTGTCTAACAGAAAACATAAATACTTAGTTTAAAAAAATTAAAGCAGTGTTTCATACTTTTCCATTTCAGGAACTGAATACACATTTCCTCGACTACATATCAGCATTGGTGGTTCAATCTTTTTATCCTCTTCTTTATACCATATTTGGTCATTTTTTTCTGGCCATTTCCAATTTTGTACACTTTTACACATGACTCGCACTTCATATTCTCCTCTTTGTTTTCGTATAACAACACCGGGAAAATAACTGTTCTCATATTTGACAATAACGAAATCAGCAATGGTAAATGTAGTTGGTGGCATAGATTCATTGATTTCATTTTCATCCTGGTTTTCTTGTTCAATTTCCTCTAAAGATTCTTCATCTAAAATATTCGAATCACTTGAACTTGAAGAATATTCTCTTCTATTTAACTTTTTTGGTCTATTTTCTTTATTTTTGTTTAATTCTTCACGTCTACGTTTTTTTTTCTCTCTAACTTTTTTTTTACTCTTTTAATTCTTCAGCAATTCTTTTTTGTTCTTCTTCTCATGATATTTGGAAGTTATTGCCAAAGGGGCTTTTTCTTTAACACTTTTTTTAGTGGCAATTTCCAACTTTGGAAAGTGTAAGTGTTCCTTATAGGAATCTTGGATTTTAAGAAATTTTTTGAGCTAAAATTTAAATCTAATTGTGTTTCTTTTGACTCATTTTCCTCATGTTGATTTTCAATTTGGATGCTTTTATTTTGAGTATTGTCTTGGTTTTCTACATGTTCCATTTCTTTCTCAATTTGTTCACATATATTTTCATTTTTTTGGGTAATCTCCGGGGCACTTTCTTGATTTTCTTTATATAATCTACATTTCTAATTTCTTCAACTTCCTGATAGTCATCAGTTTCTGTGTCCATCATTATTAGAACGTTATTTTTCATTTTTTCTCTTTCGTCTTCTAATGCAATATAATTCTCGCCATTTTCTTCATTGGGGTTGTCTTTATTTTCTGCATATTTTTTCCATAATTTAAATAATTTATCATTATTTAAAACTTTTTTTGCTTTTCTCCCTTCTCTGTATGTTCTAAAGAATGTATCAAAAGCATCATCAGTAATGTCTAACTCAAACACGGGCGAAAAATCTTCATTATTTAGTTTTGCATTAAGATTGGCTGAGTTTGTAAAAGAAAGATCTCTAAAAGTTACTAATTTTGCTTTGTGCACATGTCATGTCTCCAAGCATAACATCCAGGTGCCAAATGATCACCTAGATTAAAATCAACCACAGTTTCAGTAAATATGGGAAAATTAGGTAAAAAATAATCTATTTTAGATTCAGTAATATGGTTGTTTTTATCTATACATACCCGCGTATGGTCACGATTCTGACAAGTTAGGATAAAACTGAATAAGATCAGTAAGGAGATGTTTATTATAAGAATCTGTTAGAAAGTCAACATTGAAATCTCCACATAAAAATACAGCATCATAAAAAAAACAACACGATTTAAAATATGAAATTATTTAATAATTAAAGAGATATTTTAATTAAATAATTATAAAGATAATTTTGTTTATATAAAATAGTATATACTAGTTAAAATATGTTGAACTTACATTAAAAAAAAATATTTTAAAGGAAATTATTTCTTTTAAGAATAGTATGATCTATCTATTATTACTTCTAAACATTTAACTTGATTTTTCTAGTTAATATCTACCTTTTTCAAATTTATATCCAATCGGTAATCTTTATTTTTATTTTTTCCTTATAACGTGCAGTTTATTTTTTTTTTAAATAAGAATCTTCACTTGCTTAGTGCAATATAAATATGCTTTAATAATTCTTGTGAATAATATTTAATGTTTTTTTGATGAAGATTATATCGGTATTACATTTTTGATTTCTCAAATCCCACCTATGTCAATCTAATTTAAATGTCTCCAAATATATTCACTCTTTGAACTAATTCTCCCGTGTTCTGAACGTAGGATATAAACACTACAGTGTTGTCATATAAATTATTTTTTTTTTGTAATATAATTTTAAACCAAAATGTAAAGGTCCTGGTGTCATATTAAGATTTCCTCACAAATTTTTTTGTTCTTTTGATAAAATACTTTTAAATCTTTATTTTTGTTTTCTATTATCCAGGTAACTTATAAGCCATTGTAGTGCATTTTCAATAATACCAAAACTTTTCAAATGCTCTTTGTAGGTCTAAAAAAAGAACATCTGTAATTATCTTGTTGTCAAGATTCTATTTCATCATTCAAAACATATTGTAGTGCAGTCTCACAGCTCTGTTTACCCCGAAAGCCTGATTGATTACAAACATATTATCTTTCAGACATTGAATTAGTTGATTATATACTACTTTCTCTAAAAAAAATTGGATGTAAATCCACTTCCCTATTTGAATTATCAACCTTAGCTATTGATGTTATTATTGAAATTTTTAGGGCATCTGGAACAGTATTAATTAGCAATATTTTTTTAAAAAAACTGTTCATTAATTTCATCTGGACTTCCTTTATTCGACATGTCAAAAACAATTTCTTTTAATCTATCAGAACTATACATTAAACTTTTTAAGACTTACATTGTCATTGTTTAAGTAATGTGAATAATTTTTTTGGTGAATGAGAAATCCATTTTTCATTATTGTCAGTGTTTAAGATAATTTTTTGATCCCTAACAAGAAATTTGGATCTCAATTATGCATCTCAGATTAAGCTCAACAGAGAGGTCTCCCTGTTATATGGCAATTCATTTTTTTAACAAACTTCCTTTAACTATTAAAAATTGTGTAAGTATTAACAAGTTCATAATTAATTAAACAAATAATACTGTTTAATTTAGAACCCTACAGATTTTTTAATCAATTTTAATTCTGTCTGTAATTTATAGAAATGTATTTTACCCCAGTTTTTGTCTATGATATCGTTTCATTAAATGTTGGTATATATATTTTTTTTTCTATAAATAATGTTAGAATGTTCTAAGTAAAGATTATTTATTAATATTATCTTTTCATAGTTGAAACAAAAACGTTTTTCGTCGTTTTAGGACTTATGGGAGGAAGCTGCAAAGTTTCCCCTGTTCGGAAAACTCCACGACATGTCTGTATACATTTTTACCTACATCAATTCAATGGCAGAGCGAGAGAAGCTAAATGACGAATCAAGAAGATTATGTGACATAAGGCCTACCGGCGCCATACTCGTAATTACAGAATGTCGTGGAGAAAAGGCGGACGATACCATTAACATGTCCATTGGTCATTTAATTGGAAAACGTATGAAAATTTCAAGGGTTAATTATTTTCCCGCGATATTTATATTCCTTTTTCAGGGTTACAAGAGTTCGATGCATTGAATAGTTCAGAAATAAATGACTTTAGGTTCAAAATGAGGCGGATGGGGGACGAATTGGCTCAGCAGCGTCAAAAACAAACTTGGGTCGATCAGTTGAACTACCAGTTTCCTCCCAGGATATCTCGTCAGAGCTACATACTCATCGAAACTCTTAACGAAAAAAGGTATGCTTGTTTATAATAATAATATTTATTCGGCTTTGAGACATACATATTTACAATATTTTAAAAAGGTTAAAAAATGTATAAACATACAATTTTAAAAAGTAAAGACATGCTACAATTGAGTTTAAAATAAAGTACAAATTAAAAATAGTATACAATAGGGCAAAAAACATTAGACAATAATTATAATAAAGAGATACCATTACGGATCACCGAGTATAATTCATAAAGTGTGCATAGGAATAATATGTTTTGGACGAAAGATATGCATAAACCTTATTTTTGAATACATTAAAGATTTTTTCATTACCATGGACTTGAGTATATCTATTAAAGCATGCAACACCTTTGTACATTTCGGAATTCTATCCAACTGAGAGTCTAGAAAAAGACTGCTGTATATACCTTGTATATTGAAATGCATTAGTATGAAGTTTTTGTTACCATGATTTTTTGACAGTTGTTCTTCATTAATTCTGATTTCTTCAGTCTTGGTGTTTTTGTTGTCATATTCTCCTGTTTGAATTATGTTGTGTCTGCCATTTGATTGGCATCCGGAAAATTTTCATCTAGTAGGTTTGCTTCCTGGTTGTTCTTATATCTGTTTTCTTCTTTTCCAAAGTTATAACGGTAGATTGCTACCCCACGTGGCCAGAAACTTCCAGTGTACACCTGGTCCATAAGATCACATTGCATGCTGATCTAAAAACATTTGTTATTAGCAGTTTTTTTGTATGTTGATAATTCCTTCACAGATAACAGATCTTTTCTGTCACACTTTTTTTAGATGTGATCTTTAACCTTGCTAATAAAAAGCCACAATCGTTTTTCTTTAGCTCTTCCTACAAAACTGTTTAGTTCTTCCGCATCATTTACTTCTGCTACACCAATGTGGCGTCTCGGTTGTCTTCTTTTTCTGTATTTTACTGTTTCGAATGGTATTTCTTGATTTTTAAAATGTTGTGTATTTGTTGCATCAAGATTTGTATCACCGGTACAATTTATTAACTCAGTCATAATAGCTAATTGTACTTTTTCTAAGTTTTCATAAGTTTCCTTAGTTACTATTTTCGTTGCTTCAGCATAATCGATTTTCTGTTTATTTAATTGATTACAGTTCATCAAATTTCTAGAGGCTTTCGACGGCTAGACAGAGAAAGCACTACTGACAGGCATCCCGACGGATTTACGCAATGAAAGTACACTCTGCGCATCAAGTATTTCACTATTTCATTCAGACGTAAATGTCAGATGTAAATTTCGCTAAAACATTTCTTTTATTTTCGTTTGTGTTTTTTGCTCATTACAGTTTAATAGAACCTAAGTATGGAGTTTAATAGCAAATTAAGAGGCCGCGTGATTAACAGTCAATCTCGCGAAATAATAGCCAATGTTATAGAGTTTATGAGAAGAGAAGGAAACTTTAATTCACCTTCAATACCATTTAAAAATGTAAATGATCGTGTTGCTGCAGCCACAGGAGTATCTAAAAACACTGTCGTCCGCATTTCTGGAGAGAAAAAAAGAATCGATAACCGTGAGATATCGGAATTTTCATCACCAAGAAAAACCATTAAAAAACCAAAAACAGTTAATGATATAGATGAAGCTGCACAAGAATCAAATTTTATTTTTTTATTATTAGATAGCTATTTTTGTTTCTGAGTTGTGTTCATTTACAGGCTCAATGTTTTTCCGTTTCTCCTTTTTGATTTTATATGGGGTTTCAAGTTGTTTTTGACTTATTTCGACGTAAATCACAACAACACACTTTTTTAATAAAGCAAACAAGTGTTAAGAGGTATATGTACGTGTAAACTACAATTACAAAAAATTGATATGAAACCCATGAAACCACCAACAAAAATGTAAAGCTAGCTTCCGTACTAGAACATGGTGTCATTCGTCGAGATAATTTATCGTTTTGTTTAATAGATCAAGAAATGTAAATATTCCCCTGTTATTTTTTATAAAATTATAAGAGAAATAAATTTTTTTCTAAATAGTATAGTTTATTATTTTGTAGAAAAACAAAATTTCGAAAATTTTAGTAATGTTTCAGAAACAACCGTTATTAATAATAGGTACCATTTTCCTTAATAAGGTAGAAATAAAATATAAACTATTTCCACGATTTACAAAGGCCTACAAAAAAATTATAGGTATTTTCCGCTATCCTATAAAATTTATATTTTCTGACTCAATTTCAAAAGGTTGAAGGAATTCCAAAACACCTTTTATGGCATAATAATTATTTTCAATTCTACATACTATCTTTAGCTGCTTTTAAAAACGTTCTAAGAAAGTCCAATCAGACCAATTTAATCCCTAAACTATTCCACACTTTTAAAATTTAATTACCTAAAAATATTAAAAACTATTTAAAATAACTTGTTTAGCAGACTGTACAATAGCTATCTTAGTCACACGTAGCGCGTTCTCTGTCTGGGCGTCGAACACCTCTAGAAATTTGATGAACTGTACTAATATTTTATTTTGGGGACTAGGGATTCCCTTTTTTTTTGGTAATTAAGTTTATCTATAGTTGACCTAGAAACAAGACCAAAAAAACAACAACTTTATACCATAATAAATATTAATACAAAAAATCTTCTTTATTGAGTATTTACTGCATTTTTACAAGAAAAAAACGCAAATTTGTAACTTTTATCCATCGATAGTAAAAATATGTAAGATCAGTCATATTATTTTAACCAAAAATCATTATAATGATATAGTCCAATTAAATAACGAAAAAAAGTCCCTTCGAGCTTACATTAATTTGTA